GGCGGGTCATCGATTCCGAAAGTTGACAGTTTCAAATTTGTACGACCACCTCCACCGGTTCGTTTTTTTTGGGGGCAGCAGTGTGATGAGTTTGTTGCGTGAATCATTCGGCTTCGTTTTATTTTTTGATGGTTATTTTGTTGGAACGGAAAATGATTCGAACGAGTTTTCGTTTAAAACGCTTAATTGGAGTCTCAAGTGATTGGATCTGTTCGTAAAGAGTTGTAAACTTATAGCCAGCTGAAACGAAACAACAACAAGAAGTGCAGTCACAACAAACGGTCAACAATATCGCAGCGGTGTCGATGCCAGCTGGAAGTGAGTTTGGTTGTACTGTTCTTCTTTTTATCAATATGTTTGTTATCACCACACAAATATTAGTCGCTTTGATTATGAGGTTTTGAATGTTGAACTATCCGTGCATGTCACACATCTTTATTACTTCTGAAAGCAAGCGTTCAGTAGTTATTTAGGCAAAGTGTTTTGCAGTGTTCTTTGTAAATGTTTGTGATCAATTAAACTGTTTAGATCTACCGCAAACAGGTGAATATTACGTTTGTGTTGATAATGGAACGGCTCGAGTTTATCAATTGGTTAGTTTCAGTGATTTATCTGTTGATTGTTGGTGAATTGCTTTCTTATATGNTTGAGAATTATTTTGAATGATATTTTTGAGTTTATTTCGAGACGCTTCGAAATCATTTTTGAATTACAGATCATGTCCGTGTGTGCTGTTGTTATCAGTATTCTGCATTAACTGAGAAAATTGATTTAGAAATATGCTCTAAAGTGGAAATATAATGTTGGAAGAAGTTTTAAGAGGAAAGGTTCTCTAGAGTCATTAAATCAAGTTAATATGCGATATCAACGATCTCTTTTGGAAGAAATTGGTGGCGTTATTGATAAATTTTGTGACGTAAACACGGTATTGAGTTGTTGGATTGGATTAGATTGGAGCTTGACTTGGGGTACATTTGAAGGCGAATGTTATTTGTGTTAATGAGTATGGATTATGTTCGTTGTTCACTTCAGGTGACAACGAGTTCGGGTGAGCGAACCATTCAGGAATGCGATCCGAGCACTGTGGCCGGAGGTGCGGCAGCGTCGGCGCAGGTGGTGAGTGCCGTCGAAGTGCCGGCAGCCGTACAGCCGATACGGGTCGTAACACCACCCATCATATCAGTGGTCGCACAACCCATTGCGAGTACCTCTCACCGCGATATCGAAATCAAAACTGAGATCAAAACCGAGGAGACGGTCGCTGACGCAACACAGATGGTTGTCGCTAGTTCAACGGAACAACACCAACAGATAACCACATCCAATAAACAGACAGATCGTCGTGTGAGTAATACCCCTTATTTTGCTGATATATTATGATTATAAGCTCTCTGCCTGATTGATTAGTTACTTAAAATGGATTA